CTTCAAAATTCTAAAGGGAGAAAACACTCTGGCAGATACTTTGACATTGCAAGAAAAAAAAATTGTGTATAGAAGAAAATTTAATCCCAATTTTAGTTCAAGGTTATTAAGTTCTTTCTTAATTTCTCATGCAAAATAAATGCAAGATCATTGACTCATATATCTTATAACATCCATTCTATAACATTCATCACCTTTACCTTTTGTAGGATATTTTATTGATCTTAAAATGTTAAAAGTAACAGTTTGATCATTGACGCACATTGTTAATTCCCCTTTCTGCACATCTATCATTGCTCTTGTTGTGGCTAGGAAATGTCTCCCCAAAATGATAAGTATCTTTTTATCTTCCACAATATCTAGCACAATGAAATCAACAGGAAAGATAAATTGATCCACTTTCACTAGGACATCTTCTATAACTCCTTTAGGGTGATTCATTGTGTATAGAAGAAGAAGAGTGTGTGGCATGGGGTCTTGTGTGTTTGTGTGTGGAAACTTTTGTTAAGCTCTTAATGAGAGTCTTTATTTTGTGTGTCTCTTGGAGTGAATTGTAAGGAGAGTTTGCAGAATACTTCAAAGGAACTTTAGAGTATTTTCTTGGGGAGAAATTTAAGATAAGTAATTTATATGTTGTTTGAGTTTTATTTATTATGTGAACCTGGATTTTAATATAAATCATATTTTGTTATGTTATCCTCATGAGATCTTATTAATTTTCATTATCTTTTTCATTGCAATAAGAATTAATCATATGTAGGATTAGAATTGTTTAATATTTCTCTTATTTAATACTTGTGATGATTCATTGCTTTGTACTTAATTTACATATTCAATCTGGCCAATTTGTATGTTAAACTTGTTGTGAATCCATAATGACCCGGGAAGGCTATGTATTCCCTACTAGTAAGAATCACATTAATCTGGTGGGAGATAAGGTATTTCATTGGTTAGTACAAATAGATAAGAAGATAAGATTTGATGGGTGTAAATTGGTGTTTTTAGAGCAACATGTTAGATTCTTAGCAATTTAATCTAGAATTTTGAACATAAGGACTGGTTAGTCCTAAATAGAGGGCACAGTGGGTAATCTAGAAGTGAGAGGCTAGAACCTACCCAGCATAACCTTATATCTACGAACTTAACTTTAGGTTAGCCATTGTTCTCTATACATTCAGAAGAGGTTAAAGAATATGATTGCATCTATTTGTCACAAAACTTCATTTAAACCTTTAAACATTTGATTCCTACATTGATTATGATCTCATTGCAAGAGGAAAAACTTTTACATAATTTGAACTCTTTTCTATTTAACTAGTTTAGAAACACTTAGCATTTTATTTAAGATTTGAAATAAGATTTGTAGGAATTAATTATTTTATTTTAGTCATAAACTTGCGACCTTATTTCCTAGATAATTGTTTAGAGTTTAAGTAAAGTTTTACTAAGTTCATAAAAGAGTTTTCACCTTCTCTGTGGGATTGATACTTGGGGCTTACAAAGAAAGTGTTTTATTACTTGAAATTATACGTGCACTTGTGTAGTATCTGATACACAAAAAATATATGCATTTATAGACCCATATTTTATACTCATTTTTGGTGATATTGCACTTTAAAGGAAAGTAAATTTTATGTTTTATTGTACGTTGTTCATTTTTAGGACTTGGAGCAAAAGTGAAGCAAAAAGGATGAAATTTGATGTCAAAATAGAATTTTTTTTAAATTATCTCAGCGTCGACATTGCCAGACTGAGCACCGACAACACCTTTTGCCAGAAAGCATGAATTATTATCACGGGCCACTGGCACCGACGGCGCCAGTGTTGGTGTATACCCCATTTCTAGAAGATTCAATGAATTTGGACGCTTTTTAAAGAGTTTTTGGATGCACCTATTGGAAAACCAACCTTAGGCTCTATTTAGAGCCGAAATTGATAAGAAGAGACTCTCTTCGCACTCCTTCGCTCACTCTTGGTCTCTTTTCGCATCTCTTCGCCCCCTTCATGCCACTTTCATCCTTCCACGCCATTCCACAACATTAATCATTTATTTTCTTTATAGTTTTGAGTTTTTGTGGTGAGTTTAAGTGTGAATTCTTCTCTAAGAGTGTTGGAGAGGGAGAGAAGTGAGAGATTTCTTCTTCCTAAATTTTGTAAGAGAGGCTACAAAGGATTTTCTTTGAGAAAAAGTTTCAGATAAGTGTTGTTTGTTTATTTTTGTTGTATGAACTTTCTTTTATATATGAAATTTGTGTTTTGTTGTATCTTTCTCATGAAGTCTGAGTAGTTTACTTTATCTTTCTCCCTACTCTGAGATATTACAACAGAGTGAGAATCACATTTAAGTCCATGAATGAGTATTTCGTTCATGGAATTAAGTGCAAATAAATAGAGAAATATACATTGTTGGGTGTAGAATTGGAGATTTATAGAGTGACAGACTAAAATCCTCAATTCGATCTTAGTGTTTAATAATTAAAGCGAGAGTTAGCCTTCAGGGGAAGGAAATTGAGAGCTCTGGAGTGGGAGCCAGTATCCTCCTAGCCTAACCACGGATTTATGGACTAAACCCGAGATTAGCCAATGATTCTCTATAACACTGAATCAGGGTAGAGAATTAAAATTGCTCATATTTGGTGCAATACAGATTTAAATCATTTATTTCATCTCATTTTACCAAAAACTCATTATAGCGGGAAAGATACTTTTTCATATTAGAAAACTTCATCACATAAACATAGTTTAATAGTTACTTTTTTAAAGGTTGCATTTATATCTTGCTAGTAGTTAATAATTTAGTTTTGATAGTATCTCAAACATTCAAAATTAGTGACAGTAATTCTATGAATTTCCTAGTTAATTTCTCATTTCAAATTTAAACCTTCCTCGTGGGATCGATATTTGAAACTTAAATAGAAAGTCTTAACTTAAATATTATATTACTTGATAACGATACGTATACTTGCGTAGAATCCCAACATTAAGGGCTTAACATTATTATTCATAAAATACCATATCAAGTTTTTGACACCGTTATAAAGCAGAGTCAACTTTTTAAATTTTACAGTAATTATATTTTTTGGGATCAGTATCCATACTGTGTAAAATAAAATTGTGGAATGAAAACAAAATTATTTAAGAATTAAACATTGCAAAACCGCTGCGGCATCAAGATTTTGACATCAAGTATTACACATTAAGAATGCACTCATCGTGTCGGGGATCGAGTTTTTGGCGATGTTGCCAGGGAAGGAGAGAAACAATGAAACTTTTGACTTAAAAATTTTATTTGAACTGAAGACATTTGAGGAAAATCATAGTGTTGTTTAAATATGTGTGTTTGTTTGGTGTCTTTAAAATGTATATATATATATATATATATA